TACCACACGTGATTCATTTCACTGGATCTTTAGAAAGCTGAGTGAAGATAAATGTGCCAAGAGTTTGTCTGTACTTTCTGTACAGTTGACAGAAGGAGGAGGCAAAACATCCAGGGTGGCTTAAGGGCTGGAGTGTGCAGATGTCTGACCTGCAGCTGCCCTGATGCCTGTAGCGCAGAGTTGGCACTCGCTTCATCTGTGGGACTTGCAGGAAAAGACCATGCAAGGTGTCCTCTGTCACATCAGAGGACAACGATCAGAGCCTTGGGGACCAGAAGGACATGCAGAGAAAGATCTGTTCTGCAGCTTAGCTTTTATAGAGGCTTAAGTCTTGGGTCTAGCTAGGTGAAAGTGTCAATCCATTTGTTATTTGCAATTGCAAACACTGCCCTGGAATGAGATGCCTGAGCATGATCCCCTTTTTCAAAGGGATCATCTTACTGATTTGGGGAAGTGATTTGAAGTGATTTGGGGAAGTGGTGGCTCTCCTGGGTGGCAGGATGGCAGAAGCTCCTGGACCGAGTCTCTCCTGTTGAAAGCAGTGGTCAAATCATGGATAGCATCACCACATATGGGCACAGGCATTCAAGCTGGGCTGTGAAAGCCAAATATTCAGTTGTGCTTGAGACAGACCTAGAGGGAGATTTAAACCTGAACTCTTCTTATCCTAGTCTTTGTATTGTACAAAAAGGTTTCTGTCACAGCCGGTGTATTCCAAACTCCTTATTTTATTGTTAGGCTAGAGGACAGATCTGGAAGTTGCACATTCTTGCACTTGAGCAGTTGAAGAGTGACAGAGTGAGCAGGAGGTTTGAGAACCACGTGGTGGTTTGGATGTGCAGTATTGGTTCAGTCAGTGTTATGAAGGTTTCAGTGTTGGTACAAGTACCCACTGGCAGGAAGCTGTGTGCTTGGAGGGTAGTAGCAGCCAAGAACGGATGTTTAAAGTTTTAATGATATCTAAAACTTTATCAGGCACCTAAACCCTTGAGGGTTAAAAGGGAGAGTCTTATGAAGATGATGGTTGATGTTCTTTCATCTGCATTCCTAGATTACTCTGAGGAGAATAACGTGAAGTCATTTTCTGAAGATTATGGCATTGCGTGAAAGGAATGCAGCACTGGGCCATAAATTAACAGGAACAGGAAAAACTCATTTTCAGCTCTAGTTTATTAACTCAGCCATTTGCATATGTAATCCTTTGCACCAAAAACTTGTACTGTATAAATACACCTTTTACAGTAGCAGCCTACCATAGCAAAGAGATTTTTGTGCAGAAAAGTTTTCCCATCACTTTTAAGTTCAGATGTGTAGAAAATAAGTTTAACATTAATCTGTTAGACTGCTTCTGTCTATGACACTACATGTTGAATAAAACACATGATAATGTGTTCTTGATCAGTGTTGGATCCACAGATGCTTTTCCTCTGTAACCCTTTAGAGTGCATACAGAGACAGGTTTAGTTCCATTTTAACATACTTGCTGGTCAAGGTGAGCCCAAGCCATCCTAATGTGACATGCCTGACATAATCCCAAGGGGATTAGTTGTTAAGACATTTGAAAAATAAAGCAGATCTCGTTTCAGTGTTTTTTCTAAGTGACACATGTTCTAAATTAAAGCATTTGCAGCAAGTTGATTATAAACTTTCTGAGTCTAAGCAACTGAGAGCTGTTCTTGGAGCTGTCAAGAGATGTACTCATAGCTCTAATTTTTAGCTGACTACTAAATCTATATTTATACACCAGGGATTTTTCTCCTTGCTGACCATCAGAAAAGTGTGTGGGGGGGTGGTTTAATAGAAAAAGGTTTCGTATGTGTCCTGTTTCTTCTTCTGTTCCTTTTCTGTAATCTCCGGGCAGTGCAGTAACACAACCTGTTTGCATCTGTGGAAAGCTGTGTAGGGGCAGCATTTAGAATAACTCTTTGTGATTTGTACTGAAAACTTTGGGATGAAGGTGAGGAAGAAGGATAATTCTAAATTCCCAATGTCTGAAGTTAATCAGTAGGGGTTTCTTCTCACTTCGTGCCCTCCTCCTACCTGTCATTTCTCACATGCTGCTCTATTTTAGCTGTTCCAGAAGGGCTCACTCTGCCTTTTCCTCTTGCAGAGCTCTGTAATGTGTGCATTCTTTGGCATGTCAATGTTAATTGCTGTGTAGTAGTTTTTTCGCACTTTGGAGCTTCCCCAGTTTCTTAGCTGGTAAGCTCTCTCTTCTCTTGCTTCACTGGTCAGTCTAATGCTTTCTCCTTGTTTTGTACGACTGAACTGTGCCTCTCTTTTAACTTGGTGGGCATTTTTTTTTGTCATGTGCCTGTTAGTCTCTTGTAACTTCTGCTTCTGAAAAGTTGGAAGGAAGGACCTTTTCACAGTGATGAGGATACAGGTTAACGTTAACAAGATTCAGGTTCATGGCCCTGTCAGTATGATGTCAGCATTTTATTTGATAGGTCAGAATGTTTAATTTCAAACTGTGGGAACAAGCAAGTGTTTAACTACTGATGTTCAGCCTCATTCTGTTCCCTTATTTCATAAGCCTGGTCACACCCAAGAAAAGGGGAGGCTGGAAAAAAATGAAGGTTGGAATAAATGGGACTTGAGTAGGTGTATCGCCCCAGTTGGTATGTGTGCAAAGGATAGTGCATTTGCTGCACATGAACTCCAGTTTTGTTCTTTAAATGTTGCTGTTCTGTTTCTCTTGTGTAGTGCTATGAATAAACAATTATTTTCTAAATTACTTTAGAACATGCTATTCTTAATAAAGGTGCTTTCTGCACACTTCTAGTGAATGTTTTGCTCCACATAGTACCCAGCAGTTCTCTTTCTTCTAGAACTAATTTCTGGTAATGTTCAAGTACCTTTGGGACAAGAGTAATCAATGCATTGCACAACCTCATGGGTAAGGATGTGTAAGCCTTGCAGACTCTTTTGCAACATCTGGGACTTGTGCAGTTCACTGTGGAATGTGTTAAATTGCAATAGTGTTGTGGTCAGAGCCTGTATTTGTTTTGATCTGCTGGAGATTATATTTGTGCTAATTATTTTTAGACTCTTTATGTCCCAGTTTTGTGTTTGAACTCTAAATGAGGAAAGGAGTGATGGGAAGTAAAGAAATGGCCTTCCCTGTATTTGCAGGGAGTTTGGGATGGCTGCAGTGTTCTACCTATAGGCAAGCAGAAATTATTCCTGCATTAACAACCTGACCCAGAAATTGGAAATATGAGGGTAAACTTACAGCATATGAGGTGTTAGTCACTGGGCTGGATCAGAGTTAAACGTGCATGCTTTTCTCAGAAGTACAGCAGGGTATAAAAGTTCCCCAGGGATGTGACTTACTCACAAATTACATGTCCTGAAAAAGGAAATAAGAAATGTGAGTTAGGAGACAGTTTTCAAAATACAGGGTGAAAGTGTTCTAGAAGTTCTTGGAGGATGTTGGGGCAGAATTTTGTGTTTGAACACGGTTCTGTTCAGCCCAACATATGTCTGCTCCTGTGTGCAGGGGTCTCAGTATGTGCCATAACTGTAATGTGCCCCCTGTGTGCCAGAGGATTATCACTGCAGCTGTTTTTTGTCTTTGAAATGGACAGTGCAGCTGAATGAGTTGTAAATGTTGTAGGTATTTTGTACACTGTTAAAGCTAAGTAAATGTTCGTTGCTAAGCTCAGGATCTGTTATGCTATGCTTCCTTGGACAATGCTTCTCCCATAAAACTATGAGAAGTTAGTACCATTGGACACTGTTTTCTGGTCTAATATATGTTCTTTATTCTTGTGCTGACCCAGTATGTAGTCTTTGTATTTATTGACATAAGAAGCCACAAACTTAGTAGTTCTGCACTGGGAGATGATGTAGCAATGTATAGTTTGGCACAGTTTCAGGCTAGATACTGTACCACTCATGGAACAGCAACTGGCTCGGCACTTGGCTCGGCTGACAAGGACAGAGAAATGCTTCACACCACCTGGGTGTCGCCCACTTCTGCCAACTGGTACCAAAGAACAGTTGAACCTGTTGCATCTTCCTTTCTGGCCAGTACTTAAGGTCTGCAGGCTTCACAGTGATTCCCTCATGACATTGAAATGGAGAGGAGTAAACAGCACTGTTCAATGATGAGTTCACACATCAGTTCACTGATGCTATAGCAGAGCATAAATAGCGTTCATATTCCTATTTAGCTTTCACTTGTCCTGCAGCTGGTTGATGGAGATGTGGTTATCAAAGGCATCTTTGTTTCATGTGGCACATCAAGAATGGGTTCAAGTACCTTCAAAAGGTGGAAGTTGATAAATATTATGTTTTGAGTATATACATTTCAGTTAATAAGTGCTATGTCCTGAACTGCTTTTGCCTTTGTTGTGTGCTCATAACTTAGATTTCAGAACTGTCAAGTGTGTTTTCTCCCTCTGCTTAGGTTAGTTTACTGCAGTTCCCTTATTTTGGTTTTTCTATGCTCTTCTCAATCTCTTTGGGTTTTGCCTGATGTTGTAGTTCTCTCTTGTGTGTCTGTTTGCTCATCCATCTTCACAGGGGTTCTCTATGTCCTTCCTCTAGAATGATTGCGTGAATAAATTCTTCATCTTAAAGGCTCTGGGGATTTTTTTTTTCTGAAATTGTTAAATCTGATTATGTGGTTTGTTTTGGTTGTGTAATCTGTACGTTTCTTAATATAATAAACGAGAAATCATTATGCCTACCTCTTGTGGGAAATTTAAATTCTTCAGTGTTGTTTCTGAATACTTATGTTCCTTAGCAGTTGACCTTTATCTACACGAATTGAGAGACAGCTGCATTCAGGAATAATGTGTCACTTTAAACACATTCTAAGTTTTAAATGACAATACCCGAAAAGGACACAGTTGTAATCAGGGTTGTTAAAAGCTATCTGACTTCTTGCAGACAGTCCTAATAGTAAGAACTATGTGATCTGAACTGCTGAACTTCTGGAATTACAATAACTTCTGTTCATGTATGTGATACAGATTCCTGGAAATCTGAGGAGGTGTGGGTATCTCTTATGAAGGGGACTGAAGTAGGACCAGCTGATATCCAAGAAGTAAGTTCTTGGGCTTTTTTCACCAGATATATTGCTAGTGAGGTGCACTGTAGTATTCATTCACTTAGGTGGATTAGAAGCTGATTAAAGTCTCTAATGATTGTACATTGAGGAGAGAATTTTGGGAAGCGACCCGAGAAAACTAGGCACTATGTGTTGCTCATGATTTTACCAAGAGTTTTGCTATCTCGTTCCCAAATATTTGGATGTTTTGTGTCTCCTTTGGTGCATAATTTCAACTGCTTGTCTGCAACTGCCTGCTTATTGCAGGGGGAGCCTGCTGCTTCAGGCATTTTAGAGCTCAAATGCAGTTGGGAGAATTGGATTCATCTGTAACAGTTGGAGATACTCATGCTGTATCATAACAGCTGTGAACTTGAGTTCATATAAGTAATGTGTGCTTAATCTTCCTGTGCTGTCAGTGACAGGAAGAGGAGGAATAGTATCTTCCCATATTTAATGATGATCTTAAAGTTTTTGACAAGCAAATTTGAAAATGTAAACTTTAAAGCAACTTAGGAAATAATTGCCATGAGTTAAGCTACACAGAACTTGCAAAAACTTTTAATTTACATTTTGATCTGTTGATATTCCAGTGTTAATCTGATATGATTAAAAACAAATTTACATGTCTGAATTACCCTATCACCTCGTGTATATGGAAGGTTACAGAAAAGGTAGAGGCCCTATTTTTGAATTCCAAGAGCACTTGGCAAGTTTTGGTTTAGTTGCTTTGTTTGTTTTTGTAGTTCTTTCTTTGTCACCAATAATCCATTCATCTGACTTAGAAACATGAAGACATTAAAAAGTTAGAATGTTGTTCCTTTTGTCTTACCTGTGTTTTACCTGTTCAGGTATGTTTCACCTTATAAAGATTAGCATGTATAGATAGCCCTGTTGATTGCTATTTGAGTCTTGGACGCTTTCTTACTAAACACCTCTGTAAGAATACTTTACAAATTAAATATCAGAGTGGTAAAGACAACTCGTTGCCTTCTCCTGCATAGTCCATACTGTGTGACAAAGTGCCTCACAGTTTTAGATTGACCTTCTTTTGACTTTCATACAGATATAATCTGTTTGTGTTTTTAAAATGGAAAGGTAGCCATATATGTAGTGGAATTGCATATAGTTGCTGATATAATGTCCTTCATCTAATTTATTCCATTTTATAGCCTTCCTACATTTTCCCCCTTTAAGGTGTAGATATTAGGACAGTATATTTACAAATGAAATTATATTTTTAATGTCATGAGTAGGTGTAATTAGGTTGAAATACTTCAATTTTGCAGTCAGTGTTTTGCATTTGAGGGTTTTTTGGTGGGGTTTTGTTTGTTTTGTTTTTTGTAACTATCTATGCACATTGTTTTACAAGGTGATTTAAGTGTATTTCTTAGCGGGCTTGTGATAAATAAGATGGAACTTGCCAAGAGAGGAACTCTTTTCCTTTTTTTCCCAAAGTATTGTTATAGTAAATATATTTTCTTACTGTCCTGCTCTTCAGTAGACCTCACACAGGAAACGCCATTACCTCCTCATTTTGCCAACTTTGTGATAAGTTGGGGACTTTACTGGCAGTTTCATAACTTGTCATGATAGCTCTCCTAAGAAGAGGGTGAGTGGATCCTGTGGCTCTGGTGTGGTATATAGATGCCAAGTGCTAGGAATTCCTGGAATGTAGAGTTGTGCAGCACTGATAAAGTTTGCTTTGTTTCCTTAGTGACTTGGCCCATTGAGAAAATGTGATTCCCTAGGAAGGTTTAGTAGCTCAAAGTTTATATTGAATAAAGAGAAAGGCCCTTGCATAATTCTGCTTGTTTTCACCTGCTGCCTGAAAGATTAATTTTCTTAACCTTCATATAGAAAATATAACCCTGAGTTTTGAAAGTGATTTATAGAGATCCTTCACACTTATCAGTTTGAGTAAATATGCCACAGGCTTTTGCGTTCCAGCTACGGTCTTTTCATAACCTTCTCAGTTTACAGTGTGGTAATTTCATTTGGGGGTAAGAAAGTTTCAAGGAAAAACACCTTCTAATTAGAGTGATATAATCACTCTGCTTGCCTGCTGTGGTTTCATATGACTTCAGAAAAATAGTTGAATGATTAATCTTTAATTTTCCCCATCATTAACTTAATAAGGAAATGGGAGATTGAAGAAAAAACAAACAGCAGAACTGTACAACTGAGACGTTGTTATGCCAAATCTTTTTGGCTTTTTTGTTTGGTGAGAGATGCCATTCTGTGAACTCTATGTGAAGTGTAGCAGCAACTGGTTAGCTCAGATAATTCATAGAAACTTGGAACTTTATTGAAGTCTTTGCAGAGCTTGCTGTACAACTTCTTCCCTCTTCCCCACAGTCCCCTCTGGGCTGGGTGGTGTTTTTTTCTATGGTTTATTTAGAAGCAAATATTGCATAAGCTAAACTTCTAATATCATAAAATTTCCTTGCACCCATTTTTCTGAGGGAAAGGAAGCCATCCCAGACAGTAGCAAAATACCCTTAGGAAGGATTGGTTCTATTTTTGTGCTGGTTACTATCTTTAGTTGCTGTGCTGATAAGTGAACTTTGTTGTAGAGTAATGCAGTTTTTGTATGAATGTGACAGGATTGGTCGAGTCTCTTGGAGAACAAAAACAAATAAAAAAGTGGAAGCAAGTTTCTCTTTGTACGTCTTTATTTAATTCTTAGTGAGTGTAGAACAGGTAACATAATACTAGAAGTTTAATGCTTGCATAGAAAATATGCCTGGTGCTTGCAAATGTTCATCTAGAAGTTGTAATTCTTTTCATTAGTAAATACTATAAAACCAGTCAAATGTACATCTGCAGGCAGCAACACAGCAACAGAAGTTGTAGTGATCTTAACTAACTTGCTTGGAGGCTTCTGCATGTTAATAATATAAAATAAACAGCCAAGGAATGTGTGTTGCTGTTGACAGTGAGCGACTGTAAACATCCTCGACTGGAAGCTGTGAAGCAGCAGATGGGGCTTTCAGTCGGATGTTTGCAGCTGCCAACTGCCACAGACGTCAAGAAATGTTTGACACCTAAAACATAGCTGTCCATTTAAAACTTTTATTTCATTTATCATGGGCATACGAATTAGGCCAAACTTTTCTACATACTGCTTAATTTTTCTTGTGATGTCTGTGTCTTAATATCTAGAAATCATCCAATCTCTGTTAGGAAGAATCAGAAATGGAATGAGGCTATATTTTTAACTGCAAACTCAGTTCTAAGTTTTCAGAGTTGCTTGTTTGTACAGGTTGCTTGGCTTTGTTTTTAGACTCTGCTAGAAAGTTTTCACAAGATAATTTCACATTTTTATCATCTCTTCAGTGGTTCATTTAGAATTTGAAATCCTAAGCCTTGTAGGAAATAATCACTTAAAGGACTTCTGGAATTCACCAGTGAGCAAAACTTGGGGGAGAAGTATTAAAAATTTATTTTTCCTGGAAGAGGCCAAACCCTGAAAAATGATGGGGAGGTCAGGAGGTTTCATGTGTCTGAGTTTACCTCAGATGTATCATAGCATCTCAGCTGTTTGAGGTTCAGTGATCTTCCCCTTCATCCTCCCTTGCAACAAAAACAACAACAACAAAAAACAACAACAACCAAAAAAAAAAAAAAAAAAAAAAAAAAAAAAAAAAAAAAAAAAAAACAAAAAAAAAAAGGAGGAAGTGCTAAAAGTTGATTCATACTTTTCATACTTTTCTAAAGTCAATTGAGGCAATTTCAAGATTCCAGTCCTGCCAACTAATAATATGTGTGGGTGGATCTTGTTGCTAAAATAATGACCATAAGACATAGAGAAGAATTTATGTGATTGGGACACAAGGGTGATTTCTGTCATACCAGAAAAAGAGCAGTGAGTTTGTAGCACATAACTGATTTAAGTTGATACTGAAAGCACTAGTGAATTCCTTCTTGAGAGAACAGAGAAGATATGCATCTTATGCTTTTGGTAAAGCGAGTTGTGTTGTTAATTGCTTTTTCTTGTGGTCAGTATCCTTTTTTCTCAAATATGTTTGTGTGCATGTTTGTATAAAAGTATGAGAGGACATAAGCTAAACATTAATGTCCCTTTACATTTCACATAAGATATAGATACCCTAAGACTTTCTAGACTATGTGACTTAAGGTGTTAGTATCCTGGTCAGAGTTCTTACAAAACGTTATTGTCATGTAGGGAGGTAAAACAGTATCTGCAATGTCAAAATCCCCATATTTTGTATTTGAGAAACTTCACTAACCTGTGTTTTGCAATAGCATTCAGTGAAGATTCATACACTTCTCGGGTTCAAATTATATTGTATTTTAGTAGTGCTTGAAGGTCCTATTAGGATTAGCATTATACATCACCTTGCACACTGCTGGTTCATAGTAAAGTATGAGGTGTCCCAAAAAGGATTTGCAGTCTGATTCAAGACTAGTGGCATCAAAGCAGAATTTAGATGATGTGGGCAGGAGTCACATGAGAAGACTGAGAGGAGGAGGGTAGAAGGATGGGCATTTTTAGTGGCTTTGAATTACTTGCTAATTAAAATATAAGAAGATAGAAGACGTATCTTCTTAGCCAGTTATTTATTTGGCTGTAAATATTGTGGAAGATGACAGTTAAGTTGGATAGTATATGGATTTGAAATTAGGATAGACACTGATGAAGCTGTGATTTTAGGTTGGTGATTTTTTTCTGTGCAGATGGAGCAGGTGAAATGGACAGAGGTTTCTAAAAGCCTTTTCTTGCAGATCTAAGTGACTCAGAAAAGCTTGTAGTGAACTCAGAAAAAAAAAATTCAACAAATACAGCATTTGACTTAAAATGATTGCCAGTTAATTCAGGGCCAAGGTAGTTGTTCAGGGTATGGCTTGCATGGGTTGCAGAAGTAGCTGAATTTTTGGTATTTATTACAGGCAACAGGCAGGTTACATTTGAAAATGATAGAAGTGGATGTTACTGGTGACAAAGTAGAACAGTAATGAACAGAGTTATGGTTTAACAAGTAGCAAGTGCTTAGAGGAGTCTTTCTGGGCTTAAAACTGGCTTTATTGACAACCATTTTCTAAATGAACTTGTAATGAAATTTATGAGAATTGGATGCACTTGAGAAATGCCATCTAGGCAGAGGATTCTTGACATAATCTCCTCATCTGGAAAGCTTCGCAATAGTTTTGAAGAGGATTGAGCAATAGGAAAAGACTTGCATAGGCAGAGTATTTAATATCAAAAGCATTAAGTACCTCCTGTGAAGATTTACATATTGATAATATTTGTGCTTTGGCAGGAAATTCTTTCAATACCCATTCTATTACTCTTCTTCCTGAATTACGTACTGTCTCAAAGTTCAGCATGTTTCCTCTTGGAAAATGTAGTAATATGTTGGGACTGTTTTCTTCAGCCTCCAATCACACTACATGCACATGAGTTTTCTTCGTAAAAAGCTGCTCCAGACACGTAACCTGCTCTTCTGCCAACTACCTCTTAAAAACTGCTAGGGCTAAACTTCAGAAGAGTTTATGGTGGTTTGACCCTGGCCAGTCACCCGTGAAAGCCACTCTGTCACTGCCTTCCACAACTGGACAGGAAAAGAAAATAAAACAAAAGGTTCGTGAATTGAAATAAGGACAGAAAGAGATCACTCACCAAATATCGTCAAGGGCAAAACAGACTTGACTTGGGGATATTAATTGAATTTATTACCATTCAAAAAGTAGAGCAGCATAATGAGAAGTAAAACAAAGCTTAAAAGCACCTTTTCCCCACTCCTCCATCCTTCCCAGGCTCTACCTCCTCCCCCACAGTGGCAAAGGGAGATGGAGAATGGTGGCTACGATCAGTTAATCACAGATTGTTCCTGATGGTGCTCAGGGAGAGGAGTCTTTCCCCTTCTCAAGCGTGGGATTCCTCCCTTGGGAGACAGTTCTTCAGGAACTTCTCCAATGTGAATCCTTCCCATGGACTTAAATTCTTCATGAACTGCTCCAACATGAGTCACTCTTCCACAGGGTGCTGTCCTTCAGGCACAGCCTGATCCAGTGTGGATCCCCCCACAGGGTCACAAGTCCTACCAGGAAACTTGCTCCAGCATGGGCTCCTCTCTCCATGGGTCTGTGGGTCCCTGCCAGGAGCCTGCTCTAGCACAGACTTCCACCAGGATTACAGCGTCTTTTGGGCTTCCACCTGCTCAGGTGTGGGCCTCCTCCATGGACTGCAGGTGGATCTCTGCATCCCCACAGAGTGCAGGGAAATCTCTGTTCCAATGCCTAGAGCACCTCCTCCCTATCCTCCACTGACTTTGATGTTTGAGTAGTGTTCCTCTCACATACTCTCACTTCTCTCTTCTTTGACCCAAATTATTTTTGCACAATAACTTCTTTTCCTTCTTAAATATGCTATCATGTGGCACTGCTACCTTCTCAGACTGGGTTGGTCTTGGGCAGCAGTGGGTTCATCTCACAGATGGCTGTCCTTGGCTCTGCCAGACACAGGGAAAGCCTTTGGCAGCTTCTCACAGAAGCCACCCTTGTAGTTTCCACTGCTACCAAAATCTGGGCATGCAAACCCATTACAAGAGTGTTAGAGCAGTGGCCCTTATTTTCTGTCTAAATAGCAACTGGATGCTAGCTTTGTCTTACCTTAAATATTGGCGTATGTTGTCTTACCTGGTACTTGTTGAGGTCACCATCTCCCTGAGGAGGCAGGGTGTTGTTTTCAGGCCCCTGGCTTTCAGATTTGGATAGGTCAAGTCAAGCCATCTTCATGCATCTACGGAATTAACAATGCAGTCTTAAAAAGCTTCTTTGCTCCCCAGCCCTGTTTGAAAGCAAAGAACAGGTCTTGTCTGAAGAGTCTTGGTTTTGACTCTGCAGAAGTTGTGTCTGCCAACCAGGAAGGAGGGACATAACAAGGAAAGTCAACCAGCACTATTTACATCTGCATGCTGTTTATGGAAATAATCTTTAAAATGACAGGGCAACTGTTGGAAATGGCCCAATCCATCTACCTACATATGCACTTGTTATGAAGAAAATGCAGGTAATGATGTGAATGGAAAGCTTTCAGTACTGAGTTGCTGTTCCTACTCAAGCTGCACTCAAAACCATATATTGTTCAGATATATGCTTTAACTCTGCTTGAAAAATGAGTGTTTAATCACCCTATTTCTTGGGAAGGTCTCTGTTAATTATATGTGAAATTGTCATTAAACAATGTGCTTGTGTAGTTTAGAAACAGAATAAAAGAAGGTGAACTAAACCTGTATCATTAAAAAAATCTGAATTAGAAAGGATGATTCTTTTGAGTTGAAGTGAATGGAGTTGAATTTGGCATATAACTTTTTTCCCTTTAAGCAGTAATTTATAGACCAAGATGCATGAGTGATGGGGTTTTTTTTCTATTGACATATACAGTCTGTTTTGGTTTTTGCCTAAAGCTTCAAATAGTTATTATGAAACAAATAAATGAACAAAGGATATGGGAAGGAAGCCACGTGCCATGCCGTGACATAGTGTTTTTCCAGATGATAGCTTGAGGCATCTTTTTAGCTGTGGATGTCAACGTAGCTGCTTTTATTTAACAATACATCTCTTAATTTAATATGGATAGCCAGCATTTTCCTCCAATTCAGGCTTCCTGTTATTGGCACTTGGATTTTTTTTGTGAATAAATTGGAAATACTTTCTGTTACTTTGTCTTGTGTTGCTGAAGTATTTTTTCTTCCCCCCTTCTTTGTACATCCTTTGAATAAATACATACCTCCTTTCATAGTGCAGAGCATAGAAAATTAATTCAAGAACTTCTGCCTGTAGCAAGGGAAGACTATCAGTGGAAGAGAGGGATATTGCTCAGAGCAGGTTTTTTTGCAGTCTCCTTTGAGCATCCAGGTGTATTTCAGTCAATAGTAGGTCTTTGAGCGTCGACCTCTGAGCCGTTCTGTCTTCTTCATTGCACTCCTTTTGTAGCACTTCTTGTGTGAGGACAGAGGGCTTTTAGCTCTCCAGGATGCTGTGCAGAGTTCTCTTGTCTCTTTGCTTTCACCGTATCACTCATTTCTTTGCGTTTCCTTGACTCACCTTTATTCATTAGATGCAACTTTAACTGCTTGCTTTTGTCTTCATCACAGCCTGTACACGAGATAACTCCCACATCCAGTCGTTCTGTAATGCTATTATTCTCTTTTATGGACCTGAACTTTTTCAATCCTTTTCAACCCCTTTTCCTTGGTCTCAGAAAGAAAAGGTTAATCAGTCAACAACCTTTTTAACTACTTTGCTGTAGTAAAAGCTTTGGGAAGAATTTGTGCACTCTGCTGAGGGCCATAGGCTGTTAAGAGATGTTCTTACAGTAATGTTTATAGTACTCTTTTTCCTTTTTCCCTCCTCACCTTCTGTATACTTAGCGAATAGGATTAATATTTTCATATTGCAGTGTTGACTTTGCAGAGTTGATAGTTTGCAGAGTTGATAGCTGCTATTTCTGGGGTAGCTGTCTGCTTTGTTCTGTGCAGAACAGTGAAAACATTTTACTTCCTCCAGAAAGATTTTCACCATTCTGCATAACAACTTGTATATCCTTAATGTTTCTTTATATATATTTCTATACATGTATGCTTGAAACGAATTGTATTAAGAAGTTCCACTATACAAGGCTGATGTACTCTACCTTGTATTATTATTAGTGTGTGTAAATATGTGTATATACACACGCACATCTCTATCAGGGAAGAAGAAGAAAGCAAAGGAAGCTGTGCAAATGGCTTGGTTTTTTTCCTGCCCCTTGCCTAGATGTGCATGCTGTGTGAAGTAAACCAGCCTTGTATTCTACAATTTCTTAATGAAATTAGTTGCTAGCATTTTGCTATAGTTTATGACATTATTCAATGGAATGTATGCTTATCTGAAGCTCTTGCTCAGTTATTAGTGGCTTAAAAAAATAAAGCTGAATACTTAGTCTACCTGCATTAGGTACAAATGCTGCTGTT